GCTGAGGAGCCAGGCTCACTCAGGCTGCAAAACCACGTTTTCAGAGCAAACTAAGACAAAAAACACAGAAGTCTGCCCAGGGAAGCTATGGAGTCACCATACCTGGAGGGACTTAAAATATATGTAGGTGTGGCACCAGGGGATGTGGTTTAGGGTGGCTTGGCAGTGCTGGGTTAATGGCTGGACTCGATGATCTTAGGAGTCTTGTCCCATCTAAATAAGTTTATCCAAGCCAAATGCTTTCACAGATAGTTAGAGTGAGCAACTGCCTAAAAGTGAGGCCCAGAAATGAGGCCCCCAGGTATATTACGCTAAGGCCCGGCAATATTACACAAGGCCTGGCCATATTACACTAGGCCAGGCCATATTACGCTAGACCTGGCTATATTACACTAGGCCCGGCCATATTACGCCAGGCCCCTGTATCTTACGCTAGGCCCAACCATATAACTCTAGGCCCGGCTCTATTACGCTAGGTCCGGAAATATTATGCTAGGCCCGGCCATATTACGCTAGGCCCCTGTATATTACGCTAGGCCTGGCCATATTATACAAGGCCCTGCCATATTACGCTAGGCCCGGCCACATTATGCTAGGCCAGCGTATATTACGCTAGTCCCGGCCATATTACACTAGGCCGGGAACATTAAGCTAGGCCTGGGCCATATTACGCTAGGCTGGGCCATATTACGCTAGGCCCAGGAATATTATGCTAGGCCTGGCCATATTAGGCTAGGCCCCTGTATCTCATGCTAGGCCCCTGTATATTACGCTAGGCCCGGCAATATTACGCTAGGTTTGGCCATATTACGCTAGTCCCGGCCATATTACGCTAGGCCAGGCCATTTTATGCTAGGCCCCGCAATATTATGATATGCCAGGCCATATTGCGCCAGGCCTGGGAATATTACGCTAGGCCTGGCCACATTACGCTAGGCCAGGCTATAATACGCTAGGCCCAGCAATATTACCTGACGTTTTTGGTCAGGTTGGAGTTCATTTAAAATATGAACACAAACCTAACCCTATATATATTGCACACCAGGTACAAAACTTGTAATTTTTTAAGCTGAAACTTCAGAATGAAGCATTTCTCAAACAGCCAGCACATCAGCTATTTTACTTCCCACGCTATTTTTCATACTGTGCTATTGATTTTGTTTGGACACTGCAGATTTTTTTTGTGCACTGAATTTTTAGGTTTTTTTTTTCCCTTCTTCTGTAATGATGTTTTCTAAACTTGGACTATAGAACCAGTTGCACAGAAGTTGCCCTAGAACAAGTGGTGGTCAGTGTGACCTTCACTTGACATGGAAACAAAAGCATTTCCTCTACAACCTGCTATAAAAATAATAAAATATGGCTGTTACTATTAATCTTCTTGGTATGATTGCTGAATGATGAAGGCTATTAAAAATTTTTAAGTTGTTGTTCTTTTGCTGAAAGGTGGAGTTCCAAGAAAACGTATCTTATTCAATGTTTAAAAGTTAAAAATTATCCCAAATAGAAACTTTTATCTATGCTGAGAGATGGGAATTGAGGATAACAAGGTGTGCCCTGTTACTGAGTAGTAGGTGTGCAGCTACTACGTTAAAAGTGACTCAACCATGTTGGGACATTTAGCACCAGCCCTGCCCTCTCTATGGGCTTATAAATCATAATCACTTTTCAGTAAGCACCTTATCATTCTTCTGGGGAGGTTTTATATTGCCCTGGCACTGTCTGCTTTATGTAGCACAGTGATGGCTCTATTAACTATTCAGTGCCTTCACATTTCCTGCCAGGCGCTGTTGATATCGAGCAGAACCTCTGGGTATTGCCTGGCTTTTGGTGCCTTTGTAAAGCTGCTCAGAGCCTGGTTCCCCTTCACAGACAGGAGATTTTTGTCTTTTACAAAATGTCCATGTAGTATATTCTCAACTGGCTTTTGACCTAATGTTATGTAAATCTTTGCTCCCCTGGAGAAGAGCTGGAGAAATAAGAAAGAAAATATTCCAGACAGGAATGTTACATGTTAAAAATATATTAGAGTTTTAGGTTTAAGAGAGGCTATTAAGGATGAATTTGAAATAGGGCATTATTTAGCATTAGGTACTTAGACCCTCTCTGATGCCTGTTTCATTTTCCTGTTGGTATTCTTGTATTTCTGAGTATTACTCCTGGTTTTATCAGAGATGCAGCTTTAGCTCAGTCTCTCTGAGGAATAATTCCTGATTCATGAATGGTCAATAAATACAAGAGGAAAACTGGATGAGGCCTGAATGACTGGGCCAGTTGTCAGCACTGCAGCTATCAGACATTGTCACTTCAGATCTGCCTGAGAATATACACAACACCAAGCTCAGACACCACAAGTGACAGCAACAGATAATGATGTAAAATTATCCCAGCAAGGTTTATTTTTCTAGATTTTTGCATGCCCTTCATCTACTCAGTAAAACCATCAGTAGTGTCTGATCTCATGAGGTTTTTTCTGTTGTTTGTGGCCCTCCTGTACCAGTCAGACACTGCTGCAGGCCAGGTGCTGGACTTGAGGATCCCGATGGGTCCCTTCCAGCTCAGAATATTCTGTTTTTCTGATTCTAGGAGGGGTATGAGAGTGGTTCTCCAGCCCACTATAGTCACCTATAGCCTTTGGTAGAAGTACAAGGTACACATGGCCTGAAATCTGATGCTGTTCAGCAGCAGCAAAGTTAATCACATGCAATATCTATGCAGCATAAAACCTGAAAATCCATACCAGTCACATTTCCTCACTTTCAGCTCAGCCATGCTCCAGATTTATAAGCCATTTCTGAGTGATTTTATTCCTAGCAATGCATCCTGGCTAAGACTGCCTTTGCATGCATCATGCTGCTTTTGATTTAATCTTGATTAATTATTTTTGTCCAGCCATTCAGAGCCCACTCATCGGGGGCACTGATTTATGATGCAAGGCATGAAATAACCAGGTTCTATTAGAAAGATTTGCAATTACAAGACTGAAGCATTATTTATTGGGGCTTCACTGATAATTGGTAATTTTTCCACCAGCACCTGTGAGTTGGCAAGGGGATTCTGTTAGGCATTTTCTGGGATGATTACTTGTTTTATTTATTTGTCTGTTTTCAACAGCCACGTGAGAACAACAGTTGTTGTGGGTATTGAGCTACATACATTAAAATAAGAGCAAAACACTCTCAGCAGTAAATGGAGGAGAGGTAAGACAGGTGTTACCAGCACAGAACACATCTAATACCTGGATCTCTACGCAAAAAGACACAGGCCTTATTGACTTTTAATGCAATCAGTTAAATATCCAGAAATACAAGTGTTGAATACTGACTTTTGCACCTCACAAATCAGCTGAAAGCTTTCCAGATACACTCCAGCTTTTGTGCCAATATAAAAAGTGCTGCTCCTGGAGTTTCATCACTGGTATTTTTGTGGGAGTTAAAAATACATTTATACATATTTGAACAAATATTTCCACTCCTCCTCCCATGCAGGCCTGGTGCTGCCTGTTTGCCTGTGTGAGAGGGGAGGCAGAGACAGCCCTGGGACCCTGTGGAGCAGCCACATCTCTGCCCCTCAACCCCTGCCTAGGCCAGGCTTTACTGCTCTGCCCCTCCCTGCTCCTCTATTCTTTATAAACCAGCTTGTGGCAGCTGATTTTACTCTGGGGAGTAAATCCTCCAAGACAAAGGTGTTGGGTTATTTCTCAAGGGATTGTGTGTTCACAGTGGAGAGGTGGCAGAGGGTCTGAAGGGAGCTGGGCTCAGCAGGTCAGGCAACTCCCCAAAACCAAAACAGTCCAGGAAAGCTCCTAACAGGCACCACATAGATGAGGTTTAAGTCTTTCTTCTGTGCTGTGCTGCAGCTCTGTGCTCCTCACCAGGCTGTTACTACCCTTGTTTTATTGCCCCCATGGAAATATGGGATTTCAAATCCAAATTAAGAAGTACTTAGATATTTAAATGAATTCAGCCTAATTTATGTTAGCCAGGAAATGGTCCATTTTTATCTTAAGGTGCTGATGCCCAAATTAGGCTGCAAACCCACCCTGCCCTTTCAGCAACCCTTGGCTCACACCACAGACCAACAGCTGCCCTGGTTAGGTGGCTCTGGACCAAGCCACACACCCAAAAGCTTCTCATTTCTCTCTCCGGTACAAAACCCTTTGCATTATGTGCAAAGAGAAAGCTCTGGTCAGTAAGAAATACTAGTTTTTCCTCTGCACCTTGCCCTGAGGTCCCATCATTTTTCACAATCCAAACAGGACTGGCCTCAGTGTGTACTTGGAAGCCCAGAGAGTAAAACACATAGGAAATGAGGGGAAGGATGCTGGAAGTTCTGTGGCATCTTTTGTAATAGATAGGGTCCTAACCCCAGTGTCCTGGATAAACTCCAGTTCTGGTAATTGCATTCTGCATAGTTAAAATCCCCCTGCAGTTTCAAATGAATCCATTATTGCTCACTTCCTTCCCCAAATTGCTGTGCAGTTTTGCTTTGTGCTGCTCAAGAGTTGCTTTGTTTCACCTGAGGGATGATGGCATTTCATGACTGTATGAAACGGGCCTGAGTGCACAGTTTGTACAACACTCAGTGAAACACTCTGGGATTATTCATAATTAAATAGCCGCTCCCTGCAAATGAATGGGTTTATAATGTTGGGTGAAGTAGGGCAGCACAAAGCATGACTTCTCTCTGTACTTGAAAGTTGGTAATATAAAACTTAAAAGGGCAGTAAAAGACAGAAGTTTTCTAAAATTCCCCTTATGCAGCTAAGCATGCAAGCTCTAAGTAACTGTCTCAGTCTTTACTTTCCCATATTGCTATTGATTAATTGCTCTACTTCAATTTCCTTGTCCTAAGTGGAAACATTACAATCGTAACTTCAATCTCTGGCCACGATACAAACTGATTCTAAATCTTTAAATTGTGCCAGTGGGAGGAGGTGACGGGGGGTGGAAGGAAAGCTTTTATTTTTATTACTAATTTTCATGTGTTCCAGGACTTACTAATTTCACGCAGATGTAGAGAAACCACAAGGTATTTCTGCTTCAGTCAAACCCAGGAGATGCCTCAACGTCATAAACTTGCTTTGGTATGATCTTGTCCCAGCAGTGAGTCCTGCTAAGGAACCTGAGGATATTCCACAAACATCAAACCATGCAAGTCTTTCTAGAGCTGAGCCAGTGACCTTTTTCAACTCCAGCTGCTTGAGTTATAGCTTTGTTCCCATTTGAGATTCAGCCTTGTCCTTTTTGTGCTCATTGCTTGTGGTCTTGCAAGAATGTCACAGGCATTTTGTGAATTTCCAGCTTGGCCTGGAAGGAAATGGCACCACAAGAAGCTCTGTGTCCCATAGGTGAGATAGACTTTCTAGGAGCCTTAGGAGGGGAGAAAACAGCCAGGACTCCCACCCTTAGGAGCATCATTCTTCAATAAAACTATTCCTCTGACCCAAGGCTATTGCTATTACTATTACTCACAAAGCAGAAGGTCAATATAATGGTGTAAGCAGATTCCTCATCCCCTTTTCTTCTCTGCAAGGTAGGTCCCAATCTGCTCTTCGATTGCTCCAGCACAGTTTTGATGAAGGCTAAGAAGGAAATAATAGAAAAAATTATAGAAAATTATGTATGATGTGGCATTCTTGAGAGAAAAAAATACGCTTAATTTGAAACAGAAAATGCTGGCTTGGGAGCCACATGTGTATTTCATTTGGAAAAAAAATCTGTACTGTTATTGAAGTAGCCACAATGAGAGTATTAGCTACAAATTAGGTATGTGTACTGGGAAGGCAGCTTTGTGTGGATGGGAGAGGGGCAGCAGCATCCCTCACACTGTGAGACACATAAATGAGAAGCTGCAGGATCTGCAGGCTGGGCAGAGGTCAGCTCAGGACCCAACCCAGCCTCAGCGCTATTTTATGCATAAACAATATTTCGAACATAAACCACAATAACTTAAGAACAGTCCTCTGGTAAATAAATTGTCAGAGAGCAAATACCAAGCCTCTCCTTGAAGATTTGGAGGGGCAGGGAACCCAGCATGAGTAACAAACCACAGCTGACAGCATTCCACACTTCAAATGCCATGGAGCACGTTCATGGCACTGCTGCCCCAGGGCTTTGGCCTCTCCACGTGGCAGCCTCGTGCCACCAGAGAGCACCCCCAAAGCCCAGCCATGGCTTTCTCCCCTCCCAAACCATTGTTTGTTCTGCAGCATCTGGGACAAGGATCCCTTCTCCTTCCTCTGTCCCCAAACCCACGTTGCAGGGTGGGTCCTCTGGAAGAGAAAAGAAGGAAAATTAAATGAGTGACTTGCTTCCCACGTGCTCCTCTGCCATGCCACCCAAGTCTTCAGGGAGGAGGTGCTATTCCACCCTCAGCTTGAACACTAACAGTCCTTTAAAATTATATGGGAACTGGCTGGGTTGGGCTGGAGGGCTTGTCTCCCAGGCCCCAGCAATGCCCTGGTTTTGAAATAGGAAATTTTCATAAGTACTGTTTCAGAGATTTTGAAACTTTTAAAAAACAAAACTGGTAAATGGGCAGTGCATTTTTTCCATGTTCCTGACTGCCCTTTTTCTTCAGTGAGAAAAGTTAAAAAAACAAAAAATAGTGAGAGAGAAAGAGAGAGAAGGAAACTAGAAGCACAGATGAGACATTATTCTAAAATGGATTATTTTGATTAAAAGTCCTGTCAGAGCTTTGATTAAAGAAGGCTTTTTTCCCAACATTGTGGTGGGGAAAGGACCGTGGAGGACAAATTAGAGGAGCGTTGCTTGTGCCTCCCAGCCGAGTTAATTCTGTTAGAGAGCTGCCGTGAGAGCGGTATTTACATAACCACCCTCGGTGGGGATCGCACACACGGCTCTGCTCCAGCTTCCCGGCCAAGAGATCGGGCAGCGACAGCTCCGAGGCCCCGGGATTCGCGCAGGGATTGGATTCCCAGCCCTGGGAGCCCCCGCAGCCGGACCGGGATGCGCACCGGGAGCGGGAGCACAGCACCCTCTGCTGTAGCTCTGCCGGACCGGACGGACACACGGACTGGGAATGGACACCCGGGCACGCGAATGGACACTTGGACATGGGAATGGACATCTGGACACGGGAACGGACACCTGGACAATCACATCTGGACACAGGTACAGACACCTGGACACAAGAATGGACGCCCAGACACAGACAACTAGGCATGGACACCTGGACACAGGAACAGACACCTGGACAAGGACGTGGACACCTGGACACGGGAATGGACACCATGATACAGGAATGGACACCTGGACATGGGCACGGACACCTGGACACAGGCCCCTGCACATGAGTACAGACCCCCTGACATAGGCACAGACACCTGGACACGGGAATGGACAGCTGGACATGAACACCTGGATATGGGAACAAACATCCTGACATAGGTACGGACACCTGGACATGGGTGTGGACAACCGAACACAGACATCTTGACATCAAGACATCACAGACATGGACACCTGGAGACAGGAGGGGACACCAGGCACACATGCCTGGACATGGACACTTGGACACAGACACCTGGGCACGGACACACACAGCTCAGCTGAGTGCTCAGAGCTGCCTCATGCAGGGACACCCATGTCTGCCTTCTCCACTGGCTGAAAAAAGCCCTTTTAATTCTTTCTAGACACACATTATCATGGTTTTTGGCATGAAAACAAATTACTGCTACCTCTTCTGACTTTCCTCCCCTCTTCTTGGTGGCTAACCCTGCCATCAGTGAAATTGTGTGTGCTATTTAAAACATAAATAGTTCTTAATTTAACTGTCAGACATTGGATCTTGCTACACCCATAGGCATAGCTGGAACACTACTTTTAGAATTCCTCATGAACATATGCAAGCCCTGTAATCATATGAAGGCCACAATCTTTCTGATTAGCCAAACAGAATGAGCTCTGTAAAATCTCACACCATAAGACACACTTTCCTGCCCTTTACTATGGCTCCTTGCAGTGTCCTTTCCAAGTTTTGCAACCACTTTTCTGAGATGTGGGAGGCAGAATTGCATTTGCTATTCTCACCATAACAACAGAGTTGGAGAAGGTTAAACCATTCATTCCCTGTTCTCCATGTCCCTGGTCTCAGCAGATGTACAGGTCATAATGCTTTATTTAATTTTATTTCCTCTAAGAAGAGAATAAAATTTCATTCAGAATACCAGTAAAAAAAAGAAAAAAAAAATCATCTTCTCCTCTTAAGACCTGAACCTTTTATTGTGTATCTATTAAATATTAATCCCTGATCCAGTAAATGAAGTTGTTTTGAACCCAGAAGAATAAATATGATCTTGACTAGTAAGTATGTTTAAGAAGGCATCTGGCACACGATGTTCACTCCCCCCTTTTTTTTTTAGAGACTATCCTATGTAGGCAAATGCCTCAGGAAAGAGTGCACTCTTTCCTCAGCGAAGAGTACTGCATGAGACACTTCTTGTGCATTCAAAATTCTCCCTGGTGACAAGTAAGAATTTTCTCCCCTTAAATAAGGAAGCTTGCCTTGCAGTCACAGCAGCTAAAAAGAGGTCACCTTTGCCTTCAAAAAGAGGCTCTTCAGGAATCTGTGTTCTGCCATTATCTCATTCTTGGAAAAAAAAAATGAAGACATAGCCACATAAAGAGATGTATTTATAACCACCATTGGTTTAATTTCAAACTGCTAGTTCCTCAACACACTAGCCATAAAATAGCTGTAAAAGCAGCTGCTTGCAAAAAGCTCTTGCACTGTCCCATGAGCACTCATAGCTACTTATTTATGATGGAGATCATGGAAGAAGAGCAGAGAAAATTGCACTTAGATTCCTTGAAGCAATTTTTTTTTTCCCTGCAAGAACCAAGCATGAATTTATTGTGTAAATACAATTTAGGGTCACTCTTTAAAGCAGAGGTGATTACTCAAGGATGGAAATATAAGCTGTTATATGCATTGACAAAACAATGTGTTCACAGAGCCAGGTACCATCTGTGCTTTAACACCCAGGTCAGGCACAGGGATCTCAGCAAGTACAATTTTAAAGGTAATTGAAACATCAATATATATCTTCACATTATTTTACTTGCAGCCAGACCATTATTGTAGTACATGTCAACTGAGCTGGCCAAGAGATCTTACAAGAGTGCATTGAACAATGCATGTTGGAAAAGGGGCTCAGACTGCCCAAGCACAGCTCACACCATGGCCAGAATGGCTCTCTATGGGTGCCCCCAGGAGTGCCTGGAATTACAACAGAAAATGCATCCCCCAAACCCATACAAGGAACCCTAAGTGGAGTTGCAGAAACAACATAAGGCAGAGAATGGAGGGTGCATTATTTAGGATGGTTCGAATTTCCCAAATTCTCCCCAAAACCATAATGGTGTCATGGGGACACCCTGTGGGGAGGTCATGCCTGGAGCCCAGAACCCCCCATGGTCTCTGGGCACCACTGCAGAGCAAATACTAAACAGCAGTAAATTAACTGCATTTCTAATGGGAGCATCTTTCTTTCTTTCTTTTTTTAATGTAGTTTGTTGATGAAAACTTTTTGACAGGAGAAAGATAAGAGTCACTTATAAATATTTATCATCGGTTATTTTTTCTATTCTCAAGAAAGAGAATAGTCTCTTTACTGAGAAAACAGAGTCTCATTAGGCTCTGCAGAAACCAATTATATGATGCTCATCATCTTTCAACTTTCATAGTTCTTAATTGCTGTGGGAGAAACAGTTGTTGTTAAATAGCTATTTTTATATGATCCAGATATTATGACTGTTGAACCAGTAAAATGCACAATATATTTATGCCATTGCTCTTAAACTTTTTATCTTCCTGGATTATTGATGTGCTCCTTGCAAACTGTCCAGTTAGCAAGACAGATACAATTAAAGTAAAATGGATGGGATAATAAGTTTATGTGCAGAAAACCCCACAGGCACACACAGATCCCTTGTGCATCCTCATCCCTCTCAGCTAAACCAGGGAAGATTCCAAAGGTGTGCTGCAGCTTTAAAATATAATTCCTCCCAGCTGAATCGCTCCAGGATCTAAAAATTCAGTTCATTAAAAACATCATGACATCTAAAAATAATTACTAAACGAGAGTTTTGAAGGTGGCAGACTCTTAAATTGCCTTCTAAATTTCGGCCCTGCAGCTTCGCATGTTCAGCTTTCTTCTTGGAGTCTGTTAGTGCACTAAATATTTACTCCTTTCCTATCCCTTAATGAAAGCTCAGATTCTCATGAAACATCACAACCAAACAGCCTCATATCAGCTCACCAATACCAAGAGCAAAAAGTCCTTTAGATCTTAAATTAGCAACAAACATGGAGGAGACACTGGCAACTTTCATACAGGATACACCAGAAGGGAGGTTATTCATCCAAACACTTTGAGATGTCTGTTACACTTTATTAAGAAAGAGCTGAGGAAGTCAGGCTGTTCTGAGCCACAGAAGCCCTTGGAATGTCCTGCTGATGGAGCTGCATGGACATGGCCGGCTCTCCAGCCCCACTGGAATAACTCACAATTTCTTCCTAAAGAGTTGAAGGTAAAAAAAGGATCTTGAGCTTCCCCAAACAGATCCACAATTGATTCAACTGGGCTAATCAGAAAAACTGAATTTATGGAATGGATGTGCAAAAACAGGAGGAAAAGAAGCATAAGGAAGCCAGAAAGAGACGAAGACAGCTTAGCTGAGAACATTTTCTAAGCCCATAAGGGAAAATCACTGCTCCCAGCAGGCAAACCTCACCTTGTCCTTCCTGAGCAAGTGACATTCACCATCACGATGGTATATTAGAGAGGATGAGCAGGGAGGGAATGTGATAAATTGCTGTAATTAAAGAAAGAAAAAGGCACCAAATTAGCTGTCAAAGAGGAAGACTGCAAAAGTGTGCCTGGGATGAGATGATTCACAGTGTTAGAGCTTGGGATACTCCAGGCAGTGAAAGCACAGGAGATCCCCAAACATCCTCTGGGTGCTTCTGTCACACCTGGAGGATAAATCAAACCCGCAGCACTCCCCATCCTCCTTCCACGGCCTCTGCAGGGCAGAACTTCCCTCTGCTTTTCAGACTGCTGCATAACCCTGTGTGTAAATGATGCTTGCAGCAAAGGGAGTGAGTTGACACTACTGAGGGCTTTGTAAGGCTCTGCAGGGCGCCCTGGGATGCCAGTTGTGGCGCTCAGCTGAGAGCTGAATATTGCTGTACCCCTGCCTGTGCATGGTGGTTGCTAGGAGGCAAATATCATATTGAGAAACCTGAAAGGAAGTAACAATTTCAAGTCCAGTTTGGGGCTTTTTGAAATCTTTCTGTTGATTTTAAATAGGATGTGATGCAGCCTTTAGCAAAGATAGTGGGATTTTTGTGAAGAAGTGAAAATGGATGTCATCCAAATGACTCCAGGTAATAAGGATGGACAACAACGGGCCATTGGAAAGGAAGAATTACTGAGGAAAATGAAAGACAGCATCAAAGAGCTTCAGCTGAACAAAACCCCCACCAGATAAAGAATCTTTCTGGGAAAAGCTAACAATGGGAGCTTGTATAAAACATGTATTATTCCTACACCACTCTCATGCCCGGGTTAAATTTGGCAGAGCCTTTGGGGGTTTTCCACATGGCCATTCTCACCTAATGAATTCTCTCTACCTGTAAAGCTGAACCAAACTGTTTCTGCACTTTGTCCTTCTTGCTCTCCTACTGTGGAATCTTGCAGTGATTTTAGGTGTTGATCTGGGCTATGGGAGGTTCAAAGTTCACTGGATGGGGCCAGGGGAAGTTTTCTGGCATGTGGTGTGAACCCATTGCAGCTCTGCTCTGGACCCCTCTCCACTGCGAGCACAAAACCACCCCAGGAGCCCTGAAACGCTGAGGCTGCTCTGTGGAAACACAAAAGAGAATAAAGGAATTTTCAAAGTGGAAAAAACCCCATCAGACCTGGATGAAACACAGACAAATACACAAAAGCTCTCCTTGCCTACTGTACTGTTGCAGGACAAGTCCCTTTGTTCAGCAGGCCCTGAGAGCTCCCTATTAGCAGAGCCCCACGCGGGCTCTCTGCTGGTCCCAGCTGAGCTCTGGCAGGATTTCAGCTCCTTCCTGGCAGCCCCAGCACTGCTCGAGCTCAGGACTTCCTGGGAGCCTGGCCCAGCAAGGCCACTCCTCATTTTGGGAAGGACAGAGCTCTGTCCATCTGGTGGGGTGTCCCTGAGCAGGAGATGCTGGCCAGGGCACCACAGCCACACAAACCTCTGCAGCCAAACACCTGCAATCAGCACAGCAACGTCCCCCAGCTCTGCCACCATGCCAGCTAACCCAGGTCTCACCTGGGGGTGACCTACCAGCCATACCCATGTGGAGACCCCCATGCATTCCTCTTTGCTTTAACTGCCTTGCTGTGAGTGCTCAGGGCTGGGGGCAGGGTGTCAGACACCCCACAGGATGTGCAACACACTCTGACCACCCCAGGCACTGCAGGGCTTAAGAATTTCCACTGCCATCATAGGCTGGGGTTTTTGTGTTTTTTTTTTTTCCTTTTTTTTTTCCCCCCCATTATTATTTTGTTTGCCTATTCTCACTAAGAAGACAGCACAGAGAAATAAGATCAGTCTGCAGTAACACGTGGGGGTTTTGTGTGGTTGTTTCCATAGGAGCTGCATGGGGATGAAAGCATACTGCAAAACAGTGGAAAACAGTGTTTTCATCACCTTACACCCTGTGGGGTGTAAGAGTCTGCTCAGGTATTCACACCTCCTCTGGTCCTCTGGGGAGGGATAATTTCCTCCGGGTTTGACTCAAGATGCCTCTTTTTTTGCAAGTGAAAGCAAACAACTCCCCAAAAGGAAAAAAATGCACCCCTGCGATCCCCACTCTCTGAGTGCTAATCTGGCTTAAGCAAAATCACAGGGAGTGTCCACCAGCTGAAGAATGGTCTTGTCACCCCAGAACAACTCAGCCTTAAATACTCTCACCAATGAGCAAGGAACGATTAATGCTGACTGTCCAAAAAGGCATAAAAATGCAATTCCACCTCCCAATAAAATCTAATTGATTTTTAGCAGGCATGATCTGCGGTCCCTTGCTCAGCCATATTCAAATATTTGCACCAAACAGGTAAATTAGATGATTCAGGGTGCAGAAAATTAAAACCTTCACATGATGGGTGGAAGATTGAATCACAAAACTCACCTGTCTGGGACTGGCAGGATCCAAATTTTCAGTGCTAACTCAGCTTGAAGTTCCCAGCTGTATGCCATCATCTCATCTGCACATCCTTGGTGACTGCTGTGGCCTCCCTCAAATGCCTTTTACTTGGAATTTGTTCAGGTGTAACAATAAGCCAGACAGTTTTTACCTTAGCGAATCTATAAAGTGACCAACAAACTTGAATCAAGCTGTTTTTAAATAAACATTTCTTTTTAAATGTTTAAAAATTTTGTGGATGGAAAAATGGAAGTTAATTTTAAATGATCCCAGATCCAAGGAAACCTACTGCTTGTGCTGGTTTCAGATGGGGTAGAGTTGATTTCCTTCACAGTGGCTGGTGCAGGGCTCTGTTTTGGACAACACAGGGTTGGCAATACAGAGATATTTTTGTCGCTGCTCAGCAGGACTTACACAGAGCCAAGGCCTTTTCTGTTTATTTTACTGCAACACTGGTGAGGAAGCTGAGGGTGCCTGGGAGGAGGCACAGCCAGGACAGGTGACCCAAAGTGAACAGAGGGATATTCCATGCCATGGGACACAGGCTCATGTGTAAAGCTGGAGGAAGAAGGAGGAAGGGAGGGGATGTGTTTGGAGTGGTGGAATTCATCTTCCCAAGTCACTGCTACATGTGCTGGGGCTCTCCTGGAGATGGTGGAGCACCTGCTTGCCCAGGGGAAGCAGTGAATTAATTCTTTGTTTTTCTTTGCCTCTGTGCTTGGGTTTTGCTCTCCACATTAAACTGTCTTTATCTCAACCCACAAGTTTCTTGGCTTTCAGCCTTCCAATTCTCTCCCTTCTCCTGCTTGGCTGCTGGCTGGCGTGAAACCATGACACTGCTGGATACATCCAATAATCCACACAAGTGATGGAAGATCCAAACCCCTTGGAAGATCCAAGTCCCATTCTACTATCATGATCTGAATTTGCCTCTACCTGATGGACTGGGAAGCTGCAGGGGGGCAGACCACAGCCTGTTCTCCAGTTCAGCCCTCCTGGAGCTCCTAATCCCACCAAACCCAGCTGCTGCTACCCTGAGAAAAAAATATAAGTGGCAAAGCAGAGGCTCCTAAATAGGAATTGTATTTAGATTGATTAAGATAGCTATTGTGTGTCAATTTATTTAAATATAAATAGATTATTTGGAATGCGCTCATTGAAGACTAATAGCTCCTGAATGCAATACAGATACGTGGCTAATTATAAAGTCAAGCAGCCATTATTAATGTTTCTAATGATCAATTTGTATTCCAACAACACACAATCATCAACTTTAAAGCTCCAACAGTCGCAGTAATTGGGAGAAGAGACTGCTCTATGCAGAAAGCAATCAACCAGTTAGTGCCTGCCTGGAATAAGAGGTAAAAAGCTGGGTTTTCAGTGCCTGCACTAAGGCCTGAGAGCTGATGGAGGCTGGAGGGATTTTTTCCTTGGCAGGCATAGCCTAGAGGAGGTTGGCTGAAAAGATGACAAAAATGTTGTTGGAAGGGGGATACACACAAGGATCTACAAGGCCACAGACCCTGGGCACTGTTAATACAATTCCAGAGTGATAGAGAGGCAATAGGACAAGCAGTCCCTGCGTGCAAACAAAATTCACTCAATTAGATACACTTAAATGCAATAAATTTTTTCATGGAAAACCAGATCAGTTGTAATTTCCATTCTGCATGTCAGTTGAAGGAGCAGCAATAATTTAATACACTGCACTTGCAATTCTGTGCAACCAGAGCCTCACGTGGGTGGGTCACTGCCAGGAGGAAAGCAAACAGGCTTTTCTGAAGAGAGCATCTCTGGGAGTAAATTTGGGCCAAATTAGATTTACCAAGCACACTTTGAAGTCTGTGGGGAGAGAACAGCTTCCCTCACCAGGTCAAGGGGCTCGTCCCAGGGCCAGGGCTCACATGTGGGTGCTGGGACTTGGGTGCAAATCAAGCACCCTCATCATGGCCCCAGACCTGACTTCTCACTGGAACCCTGTGAAGTGTGGTGGTGGGGATAGCAGGAGGCAGGAGCCTGTGGGTGGGCTCAGCCTCTGTCCATTCCAGATAGACCATCCACAGCAAACCCTCTGCACAGCCTTGGAGGGGGCTGCACCTCAGTGCTCAGAGCCAGGCTGGCAGTGGGGCTGGGGCACCACTGATGGCTCCCATTTGCCATCCCTCTCTTGCAGAAGGGTGCACAGCTTCCCCTGCACCCTGGAGGGGATAGGATTCTTTACAGCAGCTTTCTGGTGCAGGCTGGAAAGTATCAGGGCAGATTGGTAAATTTTGGATTTGGCCTTAGAGGTAGCTCCAAGTGCTGTTCTCCCTTTGAGGTATAAAACAAGTGCTTCTCCCCCCAGGTTCTGTAATTCACTACAAAAGCAGAGGTGAGACGCAGTGCAGGATGGTGCCAGGGGATCAGTGGAAGGAAAAGGAACATGGAAAGGAGTGCCCTATCTCTGGCCCTGTCCCTCCTGGCCCATTCTTCCCACCCCTCCAGAGGTCCTGTTCTCATGAGTGAGGCCACCACAGGGACATCAGCCCTGGAGGGGCAGAGAAACTCCTGGCCAGGAAAGACCTTGGAGTGAAGTTCTGGGCTGCCTACCTTCTGAAGGACATGGAGATGTGGCTCCTGGGATACACTCACAGCTCCCAAAATCCACAGCATCCCTCTGCTGGGGTGCCCTTCCCTGGGACAGAGGACCTCAGAGCAAAGGCTCAGTGAAGCAGTGCTGTCACTGAGAGATGACAATATGGAAGGTGTTGAGCCTGGTAACACCTCTGCAAAACAGAATTTGAGGCCTTGAGGAACACAGCTTCTTTGTGGGCCTAGAACCAGTCCCATCAAGAGGAGGGAGATGATGGATCATGGGGCAAGAAGGGAAGGACTTCAGCTGACACTTTTGCCCTGTAGCACCCCCTTGTCCCAGGAATCAGCTCCACCTCAACTCTCTCAATGCATGTTAGCCCAGCATGTCCTAAGAGCTTTCCAAAGGCTCTATGGTCTTTCCCGGGAAATTCTCAGGACACTTTCCATCCTTTCCACCAGGATGCCTGTGGTACCCAGTGTAACACAGCTCAATTCCTGCTGAGCTCTCCTTCTCCAGGCACTGTGGCCAGGGAGAACGAACCCAGCTGTTGTTATCTTGTTGTATTTCATATTTCTAGAGTCCCATACTATTGCAATCATATTTCTAAAGACCTGTACCTTCTCGGTGATATTTTTCATGGGCAGCTCCTCACAGCACAGACTTCTTCCTCTGCTTGTTGCTGCTTCTTAATCAGGGCTCCTCCAAGGCTCTCCCTGCCCAAAAAGCCCACCCCCCTTTTATCCTAGTTGCCTTCAGGAGCCACAGCTGCTGCCCAATTAAGGACTTTGCAGCTGTAGCCCATATAGAACAACTAGACAACTGGGATTGGGGCACAGCCACTTACACAATACAGATATTTACTAGGATAATCTTACTATACCCAGCATAGCCCCACCAGCCAGGGCAACACAGCCCAGCTCCCCCAGCCCTCCTGCCTGCAGCCCCCAAACCACCCCCAGGCCCTGCTCACAGGGGGATGTCATGTTTGCATTGGCTTTGTTTTGCCAGAGGGTGGAAGGAAACTGCAGCCAGACACACAGGCTCCCTCTACCCTTTGATCTTCAGCCAACAGAGTGTGTCAGATAGCCACCCAAATCTAGAAGGACAAGAGTATTACTCAGAGAAAAGCTTTATGGCAATTGCTTGATGCTTCACCAGTTCAGCGACTAAATCTCAACAAAAATATATATCTGCCTTCTATTCTGAGACAGCCACCCATCCTTTGCTGCAGTGACAGCACAGCACTCAAAGTGTACTTTAGCCTTCAAGAAAACGCACTCAGTGCTCAGAAAAACACTTCAAAGCTCCATGGCTGCTTAAAACAGTGTTAATACCTGGCCAGCTGGTGGCTGATCTCTGCATCAGAAGAGGTGCCATTGCCATTGTCACCCCCTGCCCAAAGCTCTCCTGCTTTGTTGTTTGGAATTGCAGGCAGTCCCCAGCAGCCCCCCACTGCCTGTGGCCAGTCTAGCACTGCATGTGTTAGTAATGAGCTGCCATGGCCCATTCCCTGAGTATGAGCTCACTGCAGAAAAGGAATCTCCCTCTCTTTTTTATTCCTTGGCAAGGCAGGAGGTTGTTCCTGCAGCTGTGCTGGAGCACCAAGCATAGCTCAGGGGTTGGCTTCCAGCTCAGGGACCTTTGGACAGAGGTGGAAGGGCCAGAGGCTCTCAAGCGCCAGTGCTGGTGAGGCATTGTAGAGATTCCCTCATTTAGGGAACATCAGAACAAACTGCCAGAAACGCAGTCCTAGCAGGGACAGGCTCGCTGTGCCTTGGGCAGCAGGCACAGCATCTGACATCTGCAGCGTGTGACAGCTGCCCTGAGCCCCCCTGCACAGCACAGCTCCTCATGCACAGCTCCTGTGCAGGGAGGGAGCTTTGGAACAGATGTGCTGTGAATTGATAAGGTGTCAAATAGTTCTGACACTGTCTCCAGAGATAATATCAAGACTTACATTTATGCTTCAATCCATTTCGCAACTGCAAATCTCCGGCCTGCTGACACCCCATGCAGCAGCTGGGGGTCTGAGGAAGGTGCTCACACCTTGTTCTACACACCCAGCTTAGATCAGCCACAGCAAATACCAAAACCTCTGGGTGGTTATGGTCTTAATGCCTTAATGCACCTTCATCCTGCCGTGGCCACCTCTCCAGTCTGCAGGGCTTTGGTTGGGCTTTGGATACATGAGAAATGTTCAAGCTGATTCTCTTTTTTCACTTACTCTCCACATGATTGCTTCATCTGTGACTCTGGTGTACCTGCATCTGCACTGGGGCAAATATTGTCCAGGCTCAGCAGTGCAATTGTGAAGTGTAAATTCACATCAGTTTTCATTTTCTTTAAATTTCTTCCAGCATTCCAAAGAAAATAACGGATGATTTCACTACCATATTTATTTAAAGAAAATTAATTAACCTCATGGCAGGGCTGTGAATCTTAGATGAGCCAGCATCTCATTTAAATGGTAGGCACAGCTTTTCTTACCTGGTTATCCAGCAGAGTGATGGCAGCCCCTGCATGGTGATGTTCATGCAGTGTGTGCTGAGGCTCTGGGAGAAGGCAGCAGTCACCTGGAGCTGCACCAGGGCTGGATTCTCACCACCAACGCCTCTCAGCGCTGGTTATGAATGCTGACGATGACAGCAAAGTGGGAGCTGAGGCTCAGCTCTCATAATCATGCAGCTCAGAGCTGTTTGAATGCCTGCAGAAAAAAACACACTTTACAAAATCAGACACATTCATACTGGTGTCACTTTGCAAAGGATAAGCAGATACAGAGCACTTTTAGAGCAGAACAACAGTGGCTCATTAGGTGTCAGAACAGCTTCCCAGCATCTGCCTGATTTGCACAAGCTCTGAACAGCATTTCTCTGAATCCCTGTGTTCAGCTGCACCAAAGGCAGCACCAGAAGCACACCAAGCTCTGTGTCTGAGGCAGGCTGAGCCTCAGCCAGGGCTCTCCATCCTCAGCTTCCCAGGGGCTGCCCAGGCAGCCACACATGCACACTCTGTCACCCAGGTGGTTGGGGAGCTCAGCACCTTCCAGATCCAGAGGAGTTTGGCTTGGGAGGCCAAACTGGGAGTCACTGACCCAACCCCTGCTCCAAGCATGGGCATTGGGTTGTTCAGGGCCTCCTGCACAGTATCTGAATATCTCCAGGATCCCAGTCTCCCTTGCTAGCTTTTCACATCCATTGTGAAAAGCTGTTAGACAAATGTTTTCCCATTTGTCTACTTGCAATTTCTCTTGCTGCTACTCATGCCCATTGTCTTTCTCATGCCCACAATATATTCTGCTATTGAAAGATGAAAAGGTCTATCAGGAAAGCTTTTAAAATGATAGGAGCTAGTCACATTTTTCAAAAGGGTGAAATGTAGAACAGTGACAGAGGACTTACAGGATATTTTTGTGATTGTCTTGTCCTGCTGCTCCTTGTAAAGCATTGCACACTGCAGCAGGTGTGGCAGAAGAGTCACACAGAGAGCCAGGCCAGGAGGCAAGCACTGATTCCTGCTGGTGGGTAACTCAGCACTACTTAACTCTTTGTCTGCTTCTACTCTGGTGAGTGCCACTGGAGAAGGAAGGCAGTGGGATCTTTGTCCCATTCAGTCACCCCACTTGTGGGAGTCTCCTAAACAGCCAGGGCTGCCAAATCTGTGGTAAAGCCATGCCAGGGTTCAGCCAGGATTCATCCCACTTCAGATTCTGCCCCAACTATCTGATCATCCTACAGGAAGAAGAGTCACCCCTGTGCAAAATGCCTCCAAAATTTAAACCACTCCTAAAGAAAATGCAGTGTTGTGGTACCATGCTGGAGAAATCCATCCACTCTTCTCCCCCCTGGGATGCAGAATGCTTCCCTCAGAGCACAGCCTGGGCAGACAGGACTCCTGGCAGCACACTTACAGCTGCCTGTTTATTCAAGATACAAACTTCCTAGAAATAGGTTAATTACTTTCCTTTAATTACACATTCTCTTGTTAAATGCCAATAATGAAAGGAGATGTCTGCCCTAGAGATAAGATTATGCCACCTTCATAATTTGGCTTTTCGGGACAGCAGATAAATGTCTCAGTCATTTTAAAATACAAATTTGTCATTCATGAGAGTAATAAATAATGCAAACAGGATGTGTGGTTACACTGACATTATCACATCATCACTGCACCCTGGGCATGAATATGTGACACTATAACCTCAGGCTCTTTGATGAATTATTGCCCATCACCATCCTGTCTAACACGGGGGAGCAGATGAGCACTGGCAGGAATTTATGGTTGCAGTTGCAGTATTTGGGGCTGTAGTACAATTACTGGAGGTACTGCTGAAGCAGGGAGTGATGCAGGAAGCGAAGGGAAAGTCTGCATCCTCCTGGGAGGTAATGTGTAAAGAAACCTTAACGAGCATACCCTGTGGGGGATTTCCTACCCTGCAAGTACTTAAACTGCTAATTAATTCCTATTAAAACAAGGTCTTTTGTGTACATCAAAAAATGGTGCCTGAGGCTTTGAGCCTGCAGTGGGATCTCCCAGGGCTGTGCACCAGCTGAGCCTGACAGCCTTGGCTGGGAGGATGAAGCACTGAAAATCCTTCAGTGGCCTCCATTTTGGGGCTGGAGCACTGTGCTCATGTCCGTGGCTCAAGATCATTCCCAAGCATGATACAAGGACCAGAAAACCAGAGAGCACAAAAGCATCCAGCCTCCAGGCACAAATAAATTATGTATGGCTCTGCTCAGCCCTTGTTTTGCGTGTGCAGCAATATACGTTTGAGATGAGCCACCGCAGCTTCACATAAAACCTTTGCTTTTAACATCATCCTCCCTTGAAAACAGGGAAAAAGTTAGAGATACCCACACTCTCAGACCATTCATGGAAAACCAGAGGCCGACAAAGGAGCCTCAGAGGCCAGAGTGCTCTGGGTAGAACAGGACCGTGCTGTTAGAGATCAGGTACCAGTGTCCTGCAGGGGATGTGATGCTTGTTTTGTGGAGAGGTTCCTCTTCCCATCCCTCCTCTCCTTGGCAGGACATCATCAGTTTCATACCCTCACAGCTCTTTCCATGCATAATTCTTTTACAGGTTTTTCTCATTTATTGCCCCATAAAAGACATTGACAATGAGCTTGCCTTCTGCTGTCAAGGCTGCCAGACCCTGAGCTGGACTGGTGGGTTTGTTCCTGATGGTGCTGGGTGGTGTCACAAGGTACAAAGACTCCAGCAGTCCCATCAGAGATGTGGGAGCTGGGACATCTCACCCCAGCCACGCCAGGGAAGGGATTTGGTAAAGTTCTGCCATTCCTGCTGAACAGGACAAGGAACAGCAGCTCTGCTGAGCACTGCACCCAGTGCCATCAATGGGACCCTGTGCCAGGGCAGGATGGAAACTCCCAGAGGGCAGAGACAGACACACAGACACCCAGCAAAGCCCCGTGGGGTCAGGGTGGCTGCTGGCACCTTGGAATGAGACTGGTGCCCCCAATGCCATAACTAGCAGGGCTGCATGGCAGCTGATGCTGATCCAGGCAAGAAAGGTGGCTCAGGAGCTTGGCCACCTCTTCCACTGCCCAGCCCCAGTGGGAGCTGCCCTCACCCCACACATGGTCTTCACCGACTGGCAAAATTAATGAGCCATGAACTGTTCCCCTGTTAATCACACCTTTGTGCAGCTCAATCCAACCTAACACTGCCCTCTTGTGCTGCAGCACATGAGGGGCCTTTGCTGGGAGGTGACTGGTTCGTGTTTTAATTAGAGGGGGGGAAATCTATGAAACCAGTTTTACCCACTTGTTTGTAAATCAGTGCCAGTTTTATCCCAAGAGGCCAGGTCATCTCCATCTCTTGTAATTCTAAAAGCATGGGTGTCCTGCACAGCTCAGGCTACCCATTCACTCACTCCAGGGAGATTAAAATGATGGGTGAAAGTAATAAACTCAAAGTGAAAATAACAATATAACCACAACTCAAAGCATCTGAACAATGGAAAAGAGAAAAATAGAAAGCTGCACAGTTAGGAAAGCACTTTGGCTCATACAGGCTGTGTTAAAATTCTTAAAGCATTGGTTAATGGCAGAAATCAGCATTTAATTAATACTCTGTTAAAATTTAGTTCTGTAGAATCACATAACCCAAGCATTAAAAAAAAAAATCCATCATGATTAATGTTTTACCTAGAAAGAGCAACAATAGCATGGGGCGATAAAGGGCAATAGCATGTCTGGAGCTCTCCCTCCACAGAGCTCCAGCAGATTTCAGGGAGGGAGTTCTCAAGACACACATTTAGTCCTTTATTATCCCAGGAGGCCTGATGGGTGGCACAGTGTTTGGGTTATATTCTGCTAGGGACAAACATCTCAGTGGCACTGCCACACCTTTGAGCTGAAGTGCCACCCCTGAAGCCATCCACTGCTTCACCCTCCCAAGGATGGTGGTACCCCACAGCACCCACTGTCCCTCCCCTGGTCTCTGGGAGCAGGGCTGGATGGATGGGACAGCCCATGGAGAGAGGCTGCAGAAATGGGAAAGCACACATTTCTGTGCAGGATTGTGCACTGTCTATCTACCCTGCAGGATCTCTGCCTGTGCTCTCACAGCTGCTTTCAAGTGGCTGCAAACATCACCTGTGTCTTCTGCAGAAGGGACGGAGATCAGGTATGATTTTATTTCAGTATTTATCAGACCTGCCTTGGACAGAAGTTATACCTGGCAGAAGTGGTCACTTACAAAACTTATTTTCAGAAATCTGTGCACGCTGTGCAGTAGCCAGCACTGGAGCAGAAAGACATTAGAAGCTCACTGGAGGAGGAAGGAGTGATGCTCACAGAGGAGAAAGAAAACCTGATAATGTTTCCTCATTCTAAGGAAGAAAGACCTTTTCTGACACAGCACTGATTCATTCCTGGGTATTGCTATTTAATGGATTACTTACATAAGCAGAAGGGAAAAAAACAGAGAGAAAATAAAATAGGTGCCAAAATACAGACATGGAGATCCTGCATCATTTCCTAATTGATTTTAGAGCAGCCTGTCCCTCTCCAGCTGCACACTCAGGCGTGGGCTTGGCTGGGTTATCACGACATAAACTCTAATGTGTTCACTTCCATGCAGGCAAGGCTGCCCATGGGGACCTACAAATGTTTCCTTAAGTTGAGACCTTTGTCCCTGGGTCCTTTGAAGAAGGAGGATAAACATTCATTCACAAGGGGAAAGGACTGTAAGAGCTCTTCAATCAATGGCCTATGAAATATGTAATCACTGAAGCTTGTGCTGCCTCAAACAGGATGAACATCATTTGCTGCAGTACAAAGCTGTGGGGGGAAAAAGAACTTTCTAAACTGGATTTAAAATCCGGCTCTTTGCTCCCCTCTTGCTGTGATAGCAGAGCTGGCAGTGGATGATCACACCATTGAGGTCAATTTTGCTGTTTGCCCCCAGTTTGTGAGACCTGCTCCCAGTTTTTCTGGCTGGCAGGAAGTGGAGAGCAGCTTTCCCTGGCATCTCCCAAATTAAATAAATACTGAAAACGTTTCTGTTAGGGAGAGATGTGGCTGAGGATTTGGGAAGCTCTTCAGGCATTATTAAAATGCACTAAGTGGTTTGCTGGCAATTATCTACTATTGTCATAGACTCAGGCAGGATCTGGTATGTCAGAAAATCCTGCATTCATTTTTCTAAATAAAACCTAGAGAAGAAAAGATGACATAACTTTTTAACCAGGAAACTTGACATTTCGGAGTTGGCATCTCCTACTAAGTATTAATAATAAAACTTCCTGGGAAAAGACCAACAAACTATTTTGTGAAGCTTTTACTGGGCAGAGTTTAAGGTGTCCTAGTGTGAACTGATTTAGAACTTCTGCATTCTTGTTTTTCTGACAGACAGGAGGAGGAATTTCTTCCAGAGTTACCAGAACCCTTATTATACCAGCAAGATTGATTCTTCTGATAAACCAGTTAAAGCAAAACACAGCACTGGATGAGAGCAGAGCAGAGTGACCTGCCTGCCTGAGATTTAATCCCAATAAAGCTGATGACATATTGAAGGGCTGTTGAAGCCCTGACTAATATTGTATTTTCTTTTCCACTGGAGGATGATTTGATGTCACAAGCTGCACTGTGGGGGTTTGTGGATCCTCAGCTGATGGAAAGGGTTTTTCAACAGCAGTGCCCTGCAATGCTTCCCATTCCTTGCTGCTGATTTCAGCGTGTGAGAGCTGGAAAGAATTTGTTCACAAGAGTTGTATTCATCTGGTCAGGACTGGAGTCTGTAATGTATTTTTCCTGAGGCTACACCTTAAGGCACTCTAGAAATGGTAGGGAGTGAGGATACCTACTTATTAAGTGTGGTAGGACTTTTTTATTCAAGGAAGTTTAAAAAAAAAAATCTCTCTCCCAGAACTAGTGTGTGCTTCACTGCCTATACCAAGTGCTTGAACTTTTCCCAAATGCACTCTTGGCCAACAC